CCACCAACTCCGCAACTCCGATATTAAAAAATTAATGATTACTAATCATTAGCGAAGCTTATTTCTTATATTGCCCAAATATTTTTATTAGTTACATAACAGGAGTTACCCTAGTAAAATTTTGAGATATCAAAGGAGGTGCGCCGAGTACAGGGTGTACCAAAAAATAATTCCCTAAGAAATAAATTATAAATAAAAGTATTTGAAAAAATTACCGCATTTAAAGATTGATACCTTTGTCTACTTAGTAACAAAGAATCGCCATTTAATAGAAAAATAATTAGAATCTTATACTTCAAATAGAATTCTAGAATGCATTACAAGTTTTTAAACTTATAGGATTTACAAAAATTATAACAGTATGGTCAACTTATATAACCGCTTTACTAATAACAATTTTTTTATAATCACAGTAATATTTCAAGAAATCTCTAATATCAATATTAAGTACTGTACATAAATTAGATGCTAAATTTTATGAAAAGATTCGTATAATTGGCTATTGAAATTAACTTCATTTTATATTATTTATACAGTTTAAAGTACTCTTAAAAAAAAATAAAACTACAAAAAATAATATATATATATATCACTATTAAAAATAATCAAAATTTTTTTTATTGAAGTTAGCATAATAACAACTTCCAAAAAATAGATTATTGTCATGTTAACTTTTCTAAAATAAAAGAGGATTTTGATTATCGTTAGCTGAAAAATTCTACAATCCTAATAATACTTTATAATTTTATTTTTATTTATTCTGTATAGTTTTATTTTTTTTAGAAAATACTTTAAACTGTATAAAAAGTATAAAATTAAATTGATTTAAACAGCCAATCATATGAAAGTCTTTCTATAATGCTGAATCACCAAGTCAGTTGAATAGATACCTTTATTCTGAAAGCTATAGAAGATAGTAAACATTGATTCTATTTGCATCAAATCATTGATTATTTCCTTTTATTGTTCACTTTAACTTCCTTGTTTGTTTATATTTTGGTCAAAGACATTTTTCACATAATGAAAGAAACCCAAAAATTACTACAAAGATTAAATTAGGTTATCTTTTTTTTAAAACAAAAAATTATAAACTTGTCATAACCAGTCACTATAGCAAATTTTCCAATTAGTTGTTAATAACCGTATTTATCATTCAATGATGTTCTACCATCGCCTAAAATTGTATTTTTTCAGAAATAAAGTTTAATAAATAATAGAATTAATAAATATAATAGAATTAATAAATATAAGAATTTTTTCTTGCCTGTTTGTCCCTGAGGTGGTTCCCAAATTGTTGCATCTTCAATTTCAAGTTCATTTAATTCTTGAGCCTTTTTTTGCTGTTCTTCATATTCATATGGTGTCATTGGCGTCAACGCTTTAATTTTCTTCTCTTTTTCACTATTTGTAGTTAAATCTTCTTGAGAAATTTCTCTTTTTTTAGGGACTATCAATGACGTTCCTTTATCTGATTTTTCGGGTTCCGGTATATCTGATTCTATTAAGGATGATCTTTCGATATGCTCTATCGGTTTTGTT